AAACCGACTGCTGAGAACCCATTGCAGAGCTGCTATGCCAGGAACACCAAGCAAATGAAAAGAATTCACCCCTCCTCCTGCTCCCCCTGCCCCTGCAGAGACCCTTATTTCAAAACCTGGGGGGAAGCCAGCCAGGAAAGGGGAAATCTAGCCTGTGGAAGCCCAGCCCAGCATGACAAAGCGGGACACAGAAGCGTGGGTTTGGCACTGGAGGGCCGTGGCTTCATAACCTGCGCAGAACTTGCTCTGTCCCCTCCGCTCCTAAAGCAAACCTCTCCAAGACAGGCCCGTTCTTGAAATCTCTTCTTTCCATAACTGGACAGGGTTTTAGCACATATTGGTTGAGCAAGCATGGATGATATCACCCTGCGACAACACAATCCATTTTGAACCTCAGACCTCAGCACTGACGAACAGAACATCCAAGGATAACGTTTTAGGTATCTAGCTCGAGAGTGTTTTTCACTCCAAGGAGGATCATTTGGCAAAGCCGTGCCAGGAAAGCCTTGCCTTTTGAATACGTGGAGGAACTTCTTGCTGTCAGTGGTCTGAGGAACGGAGGTATTGAGGACAGCTCAACTATTTCCGTAAAAGAACTTAAAAAAAAATCCTTGTCAGAGGCAGGGATCAGCTGCCATGGTGATGGGGATTTCTGAAGGGTTTACACATAAAAAATAGAGTGCAGGGCCTGAGAGACTTGCCAGGCCTTTCCAAAAATAACCCGAGAACCAGTAGAAAAGCTCAGCATTTACGTCTAACCAACATCTTTCTTAACCCAAAAAGGCTGATGGTGAGAATTTCTGCTCTAAGCGTTAATGGTATTAGTTGAGTGATTGATCACACAGCTCACTGGAGGCAGGGCCAAAATGCAATAGTCTTGTCTCAGCGGCTACAGCCGTGGCAAGCTGTATATTGAGGACAAAGAACTTTCCTAATGGCCTTAAAATGGTGTTGGTACCGAAATGCTCAGCCCAGGATCATCCATGTCAAGTTAATTACGCATTCCTAGTCTTTTTCTTTCGACTGAAATAAAAATGATAATAAATGAGCAACACTACTTGGCAAGATAGACACCAGCTTTTTCTTTGAAATACTCAGAACTCCATGAATATCAATTCTATTATATGCTATCCATGAAAAGACTCCAACCATTACGAACTGTGCAAAATTACTTTTATTTCAGTGTCAAATTCCAAAGAAAAACACCCAGACACGGCTGGGCTCATTTGCATTTACAACCTTTATTATTTTCAGGATGTGGTTCTGAACCCAAAACCCAATGAGTCGTGTGCTCCTGCCAACAGTATTTTCAATGGGAAACTACAGCACACTGAATCCTTTTAAGGAAGATGTGGGTCTTTATAAAATAAAATGGAACCTGTTTATATCCTGGAGACCAAGGTACCTGTACTATTGGGGTAATATTTATATCCTAAAAGTAGGTGTTCGATTCTCAACTTTCATTTCTGTTGGAGCCCAACACCAATGCGGCTTAAGAAAAAGATGGCACCCTAACCGGTTTGGCTCAGTGGATAGAGCGTCAGCCTGCGGACTGAAAGGTCCCAGGTTCGATTCCGGCCAAGAGCATGTACCTTGGTTGCGGGCACATCCGCAGTAGGGGGTGTGCAGGAGGCAGCTGATCGATGTTTCTCTCTCATCAACGTTTCTAACTCTCTATTTCTCTCCCTTCTTCTCTGTAAAAAATCAATAAAATATATTTTTTTTAAAAGAAAAAGATGGCCTATTTTCTAAATCATTTCCAAAACAGGATGGATATAAAGATCACAGGACACTCAAGTCATCAAAGCAGCCACAAAGATTCTAGAACCGTAAAAGGCTCTGTGACTTGCTACACTGTTGATAAGAGCAACAGGATAAAGAGATTTAAGAAGGAGGGCATATTTCAAAAAGGGGAGAATCGTGTTTAAGGAATGGCTAATTTGTTTTCCTGTAGAAATCTTTGGTACATGGTTCTCCTGGGAAACTTAATCAATTAAAACCTCACATGCTATTCTCCTTGTGAGCCAGAGGAATGCATTTCTTGTGTTATTACATAAATGAATCTCATCTTCGGGGCCTTGAAATATAGCTTTATCCAGCCTGTAGTGAATCTGTGTGCCATCTCATCTTTCTGCATTACAGTGAAATTGATTTTACGACTCCTTCCTCATAAATTGCAGGCCTGCGGCAGTGACAGGCTTGGCGATGTTTCGGTTTTGTCTTCCCTAGTCTCACGGGCTGGGCACATCACCTGCTTTTCTTTTTTTTAATTCTTTTTTCTCGGAACCACATCTAGCTCTTCAAGCTTGCAGTTCTGATTCTGGTTCTGAACCTAAAAAATGCATTTTGAAAAAGGATGGTCTGTTAGGCCCAGGATGTATCCTTCTTGCCTTGTTTGGATCCTCTAAATGGAATGTTATCCCTGAAGCCTTTAGGGTATCATTGGGATGAAACGTTTTGTTAAGAATTACTAGAACGATCACCATGCCACTGAATGCGCATAACATGAGTAGCGTTACACAACTAAAGCTATAAAACTCAGAGGATGTCTTCCTTCTCTCCTCACCCTCCCCTCCTCAGATGGGAGCAAAGCAATCCATGGCAGTCCTGGAATTTCTGACAGTCCTACTGGGTCCTGCTTACATTTCAGGCTTTGGTTACTCAGTCAAGAGAAATATTACCTTAATACCCCTTCCCCCCTCCCCCATTTTTCTTAAAGAAAAGTTCTGTTGGTTCCTTGACTAGTCTAATTAGAGGGATGAGTAGGGTTGTAATATAACACTGGATTTCCTTCAGTCCTCGGGCTCACCCTTGGGGAACCAGGCAATTCCTTGAGGCTACCTCCAGAAGACCAAAGGTAGAGGAAGGGAAACAGAGGTCAGGGCTCTTCATCTTGCTCCCTGGCAGGTGTGACCCTAGCCTGACCCCAGGCTTAAATTCCAGGAATGGATGGAGTTCTACACATTCCACCTCTTCCCATATCCAGCAGCGGCTCTGGATTCCCGGCTCCTGTTGCCATCCACCCCAGCTGGTTCTCTCTTAGTTGGATATGCAGCCACCTCGTGCCCCAACCCAGGCGACAATAGAGAGTGTGGTCAGGGGAGCACTGAGTTAAAGCAAGAAGGAAGGTTTGGTTCTATAAATGTTTTTTTTCTAAACCAAATCTTACTCCTAATGTTGAGGTCATTTTTTTTTAAGCCTACTTAAACCTTTTGGTTTTAATATTCCAATTGACTTTTTTGCCTTCTCTCTATAATAATTCTAGAAAGAGATCATTTAAATCAGTACAGTAATTATTATTCATCCACTGAGAAAATATGGGCTCCAAAGCACACTTGTTTGGGCTGGTGCTGTATACCAACCTCAGAATGAAGGGGAAGCAGTGGATCGTGGTAAACATAAAAGGGTACAGAACAGCTCCCCACTTCTTGCTGAGTTGAGTTCACGGTTATGACTTCGCAGGGTATCTGGCATTTCTATACTCACGAGGAAGAATCAGTCAAGACTTGAGGTGTGGATTTTCCCTTCAGATGATCTGCAACACTGCTTGCTCCTCTCTGCGCTCTCACAGCGTTCACCAGTGTGTGTGTGTGTGTGTGTGTGCGCGCGCGTGTGTGTGTGTGTGTGTGTTGTAATGGACTTGCATACGCACACTGAGCCCTGACCAAGACTGAATTCTCTCAGGGCAGAATTGCTTCTCATTGTTTTCCAGCACCTTAAAAACCTGGTTCACATGAGGTTCTCAAAAAATATTTGTTGAATGAACCAAACTATTGTTTCGTTTTATTTTGGAGTGACACAGAAGTGTCATATTTCTGGTACATTTCTAGAAATGCTACGATAACACGAAAATCTCTAATGCATACACAACAGTCAATCCATGAGTCATGCGTGTGCATGGAATAGGCCTAGATGGAGCTCCCTGGTGTGGAGAGTGAGCCATATCAACAGTTAATCTGTCTCCCGCGAGCTAGACCCACAGGCCACAACTTTCCTAACTGGCTTAAGACCAACTAGAAACTATCCCATTTCTTTCATGGATCGTCAGCATCCAACTGTCATGAAGGGTGTTTGCTTGGTTATTTTTTTTTGAGGAAGCAGCATGGTTTTTTACTCTAACAAAATGTCAACCTTAACAATTTAACGTTAATTCTTTAAATTCCCACGAGATAACTAGTTTAACAGGCGAAACACTGCCGCATTCTTCACTGGTAGCAGTCTGAAGCAGGTGTTTGGACTGGGGATCTGATTATATATCCCTAAAACGCAGTTTCCTTTGATGTAGCTCAAGGCACGGAGGGTAATTTCAACTCTTCAAAGCTTCAACCTTACCTCCCTGCATCTTTAGAACCTGTTATCCTCTTCACTTCCTTCTAACGCTATTCTGGATAATACTGGCTGAAAAGAATCACGTAGGTGGGATTGATAACTACATTTTTCTTTCTGGTTGTGCCATGATTTACATTTCTTTCAGTTTCCCGTTAAGGGACTTCGGCAAATACTCAAGTGAGTGGGATAAGCCTAGAGTCTAATTGTTTTAAATGTCAGTTAAAAAGTTTTTATATGTGTTATAAATATATGAGAAGGAATGCTTCCAATGAATTGTTTTCTGAAGACTTTTACAAACATTCCTTCCTTTAAGGAAGTGTTTCCTGAGGGGTGGGGTGGATAATACACAGGGTGTCCCAAAGAAATGTATACACACTTTAACTGCTGAGAGCTCAGTTTTGAAAATGAAATGTATTTTAATAAGCATTGCCTTTATAGTTATTCCAAGTGTGGGGGACACATTTTTGAGGCTCACCCAGGGGGATCTTTCAAACTGCACATTCCCCTCCACAAATATTAATATATTCTTTCCCGTTCTCTCCCTGAAGTCAATGCTGTAGTGACCTATTGATCGTTGTGTGCCATACCCTTTTGTGTGTTAGGAATTATTGTTTTCAACTTACCGGTGAATAATCACGTTTCCAATTAGAAGTCTATAAGAATACACGACATTTTGTTTAAATTGCATGATTTATTTTTAGATCATCCCTCTTAGTCCTGCATGCATTGTTAGCACAAAAAGTTGGACTTGACCACAACTTCCTTTAAAGAGATAGTAGGTACACAATCACCATCTGAAGTTTCTTCATAGATGGCCCAAGAATTTCAGGCCGTGGTAACACTGTCAGTAACCTACACAATGTTCAATAGGAAAATTTACCAAATGTCCTTTGTTTAATGTAAACAAGGCAGGAGGCAAACAGAGTATTATAGTGACACTATTTTACAGGGCCCAGAAATATGATTATCTATCATGTTTTAACACATCATGTGTCACAATGACATGCATATTTTGATTAATTAAACAACCCAAAATATAATTACTACATAATTTGTGGTTTGAGCACTTCACTGTAACTTCTGTCAATACCTATGAACTTCATAATTAAATTGGTAATTGTATATTAATGCAATAATTTATGGAAGTATATTACCATGGACTATAAAGGTAATCCCCATAATTTGTGCCCTGTAAAATTAAGTGTAACAATCTTTACACTAGCAACAGTGTAAGCAAGCTAAGGATTTTGGTCCTTATATATATACATATATGTACACATGTACACACACAATGATGTACAATTAAACCAAAAAGCTATGAATCCACTCATAGCTTCCATATTGCACAGACAGATATCTTACGAGAACATTACATAGTTATAATGTGAGTACTACACTGATAATTGGCTAAAGACAAGTCTGAGTTCTAGCAAGTAAAGAATGTAGCTCATTACTAAAAATAACCACAAAGACTATACTGTTAGAGAGAAAGATTTTTTTAAAATGGGCATAGCTATTTATACCAAGGTGAAGCAAGGCTAAAATTTGGTTTGGAACTTGCTTAGGGCAATCCGTTGTTAAGATGGTATTTTCTACCCAACACAGTACATTTTGGTCACTATTTTGCAAGTACCCAAGTAATAGAAATATTCAGCTTCTGAATGACAGTACAAAAAGACTAGCAATGTAGTACAATGTTTCGCTAACAGATCCAACTCACAGTGAGAAGTTGTGCTGGCTCTAGGTCCCTACTAAATATAAATAAAACAAAGAAAGAGAAAGAGGGAGAGATGGAGGGAGAGAGAGAGAGAGTGGGAAGGAGAGAAAGAAACTGAGAAGAGAAACAAAATATACTTTAAGCTTTAGTTGACTACAAATCAAAGTCATTACAATAACTTAGAAATAATGTTTTAAGAAGCAGCATACATACATATAAAAAATATAAGAGTTAAAGCTTTTCAGAACTTGGTTTCATGCATTAGCTATAGGGTCCCATTGTGAAATCAAAGATTAAATAGCATTTGGTCTGAGAGGTCATGTCTTTGCTATTACACCTATCAAACACTATGAACACATGAGGAAACATCTAATATCTCGTAATGCCTTGGTTTAAATACACCTACATCAAAGTAGGCTGCAACTACACCTAAAACTGAAGATGTTGCTGAGTTCCTTGCATGGCCTAATGAGTAAATACAGCAAACTTAATGTTTTCCCCTCATGAAAAATCATTTAAAGAAAAGCACGCACAAAGTAACTACCTCCCACTTTTGTTTTTCCGCTGTTTTGCTGAATAAATGCCTTAGAAGGAGCTAACAAAGATTCACATTGAATTAGAAATTCAGTCTCTTTGTTGTTGTTTTACCGGTGGTAAGCATTCTAGAGCCAAGAACATTCATCATCTTTTGATATTTTGTTCACAATAAATAGCAAAGACTAACTATAAAATAAATCAGAAAAACGAATGCAACAAAATTAGGGGTAGGTGTAAAACATGCTTCTGTGCATACGCCACACACAGTGAAACTGCAAACACGCCACAGAGAACAATGTCCCCGGAGGGGCAGCAGCAAGAGTGCCTCGGAAGCCAGAAGTCTGATCATCTGCTCCCCAAACATCAGTAAACAGAAAGACAAGAAAGTGCTGCTGCTTAACACTTCAACTAAAGAAGAAAGCTTAGAAGCAATATATCTGAGGAATAAGCGTCACAGGAGGAATAGAGAGTGGATCAGCAAACAACATTTTGTCAATTAACTCCCAGCACGTGGTGCCCACACAGCTCTGCCAAGCTACCCACAGTTCCTGCATACATACCCTCTCACATACATACCCACTTCACCCACATTCTTTCCCATGTAAACAGGACAGACTGGTCTGTCTGTTTGGTTTTTAACTCTCTCTCTCGAATAATTTAAAACAAAAGACTGAACAAAATGAAAAAATAAATGTAAACATTAGGGAGGCCATTGGAATTTTGATTCTAAGAGTTATCAGTGAGTTCCCCACCGAGACACGACCATGCATTTCAGTAAGAAAATCAAATTATAAAGTGATATTATGAAACAATTTTCAAAGAGAGATAGAACAAAAAAAAGGTTCTCAACCTAACACGTGTAATTAGCTTTAAAAAATACTATTTTAGCAAGCACTACCATTGGTGAGCACAAACTTGGTATTGTTGCCAAAATGACACAGTTTAAATAAACTGGGACCCATACATGAACATTAATCACCTACATGGCCATGTGCACAAGAGTAAAAGAACATTTCTTTAAAAATATATATATTATATTAATCAAGAATTTTATTATCATATTAAATTGTTATTCTTAGAAAAGCTGAAGGAAGTTAATGGTTCTCTACACATTTTTATCTCCTATTATTAACTCAACTCATTTGATGGTCCCTGAATTGTATTTTTTTCTCATTTACAGTTTTTCATATTTTGTTTGATAAGAATTCTTACCTTAAAAAGTTATAAAAATTCGTTGTTGTTGTTTTTTGCTTCTGATTAATCCAAAAGAATATAAGCATCTGAGTCCCAGAGAATGTCAAAATGCCTTGCTACCAAAAAGGATATTAAAATAACAGAAACATCAAAGGCATGACATCAGAAATTCTGCAGCTTTTCACACAGGCATTAGAAATGCTTATTTCCGGAAGTTCCTTTGATTGTATCCTGGATTCAAGGACGTGCACGTCTATGTATGGCGCCTTAATGAAAAAGCAATGAAAACACTATTATACAACATTGTACTGAAGTTGCCCACTCGATGGGTTCGAAATGCTTCAGTCCAGTTTGCAGCAATACTTCACTGAAAAGGGCCTTTTATCATCCTCTCTTCATGAGGTGAAATGTGCACAGCAGTTCTGTTTGCTTGGTTACTTGGGAGGGGTATCTACGGTGTGGAGGAAGTGTGGTATTTCACAAACGCGATGGCCGCCAGCTCCTTGCAGAACTCCTCCAGCACGATCACGCCCTCCAGCAAGGTGATGTGGTCCACCCTGGGTGGGACAAGAGGCAACACGTCAATCAAGATAGCAGCAAGGCATCAGTTTGGGTGGAATTTTTATAAAATTAAAAATTAAAAAAGTGAAACACTGACTTACATAGGGCCTTCCGGTTCCAAACCAAGTAATCGCTTTCTGACTAGTAGAAGCTTGGGAGTAAAGTCTTGAATACGCTGGATTCTAACCATAAGGTCTCCGACGACCTACATCACAGACACAAAAGGAACTCGGTTCCTAAAACCAGCTACCAGCTGCATAGAGATTTTCAGGATAAAAAACATACCCCATTTCCTTTCACTAAATGAAGAATGTCGCCTTTCACTATTTGCATAACCATCTTTGACAGAGGACTCATATCTACGCCTTAAAATAGAGA